CCCCCACACACACAGGCTATTCCTCACGAAAGTCTTGTACAGCGCCCTTTAAAAAATGCAGGCCTGTATGTCTAGTCTGTCCCCTGAGTTTTTATGCACCCTGTATAATTTAGCGAAATTTGATAATTTTTTGGCTTAATTTCTGATTATTTTCCTTTATCAACAGAATTGCATAATCTCACATTTTTGGGCTGTTTGCATAATTTCATAATTTTTTCAAAACATAAAACCGCGGGGACAGGTATGTTTTACGCTCACGCTGAGACAATATCAAATATAATTTAGGGGGGGGGGGGGGCTTGGACATTGCCTGTCAGAGCCAACCCAGGCTGAATGTGAGAGGGATACGTGTGCAACAACTTCAGAGCGCCTGGCGGCTACACCACAGATGCCAGTGTGCCGTGTCGGTTCTCTGTCGCTACCTCAGAATTACAGAGTCATATTTGACATTTTTGGCCGTTTTGAGTTACTAAGACCATGAGGTCAGAAAACAAAGGCTCTGTTTGCTCTATCAAATTCGTAAGAATATTCGGAGTCGTTTGCAGGATGATATGAAAAGAATTGCATTGAAAAAAGTTTGACACATTGTGTGAAACTCAAAATCTTGGACGTCAAATTTCTCAAAACTACTCGTAGGTAGACTTACCGAGCAGATAGAGCTTTGCAATTCTGAAGTAGCGGTGTGTCAACCAGACTCGTACTTTCTTTAAATGGGGGTAAATAATGTTCTCTCTTTTCGGCCTTAAGCCCGGATCTAGGCGAGGCTGCTATATTGGACAAAAGTCAACGTGCAGTCGAAATTGTCTAAGACTGCCACCCATTGTCGTGGAGAAATGTGGCCGTCTTTGACAGATTAACGTCTTACACTAGTGCCATTAAAATGTAAAAACAACAACAACCAACAAACGAATAAAAGCAAACAAAAACACGTACAAAAAAATCGCAAGGGGGAGATTGGGGTGGCCAATTTGTAAAGGTGATTGTCTTAACCTTATCCGTACGTCGTGTTTTACTATCGTATCAATACGACGTGTGGAACTCTGTGCCACCACTTTCCAAAGAGGAAATTTACTCGTAATATTCGACCCGTACGCTTTGCATAGCAGTCTGTCAAAACGATTTTTTAAAAGAAATACTGAAAGTTTCAAAGAGATCTTCGCACTAGAAGTATTCTGAAATGTGAAGAATACAACACCGGGGATACAAAATGACCCCAGGGCGTACGGATTGGGTTAAATATGCGGTTTTTACTGCAGATCACCAAAATGCCAGTGTGGAGTGCGGAGAGGTGAACCAAACTGTGGACCATACCCTTCAACACTGCAGCAAGACACACAGAGCTATGAGTATGAGGCAGGTAACGAGGCCAACCCCATTGACACTACAAGAAAGACTGTACGGACCGACAGATGAACAGAGCAAGACGGCCCATAATTTTACATGAATACAGATACCGGACTTCAAGTGTGATGCGATCTAGAAGAAGTAGAAGAATAACTGTGCTGTGTCCTTTTGCTACACGACAGGCGTCTGTGCTGGAACGTTGGGTGCTTCGTCTTCGCGAGCTTGAGTTCGATTCCAGTGCGGAGATACAATGCATTTTAATTTTAATCGACCATCTCGGTATCTCTGATGAGACGTTGTGTCTCTCTCAGCCCGATCTGGCCCTGTCAGGCAGGGTCAAACTAGCCCGTCCCCTACACGATCTAAAATGTATTGCTGGTGGCGTACAACACCCACAATGAAATAATATTAATAATAATTTTTAAAATTCTCTTTACAACCAGAGTCATGATAACGAGAATGCTGACTGAAGTTGTCCTCTTTGAGCTTTGGCACAGAAAAGTGTAATGACGTTTTTTGTTTGTTTTTATTTTTAAACATTTTTATAAATTGGTGTTTTTCCACCCCATCGGCACGATCTAAAAGATCAAGGAGGCGGGCTGCTTCGACCCTGCCCGTCAAGGCTAACCCGGGATCGGAAAGAGATACAAAGTCCCAGCAGAAAGACCGAGATATGTACTTGATAAAAATTCTCCCCACACTTAAATCGAACTCACGTCTTCTACGAGCATGAGCATTGCACCGAACCTCTATAAAACACAAAAACCGACGTGTTTATTTCCGTCGGGTGCATGGAGATCCCCGAGAACTTTTAGGAAAATCACGTGATCTAAACACTACCATGCAAAGCATAATTATAAGAGCAGAAATAATAATCTTCATCATTTTCTCACCCTGGGCCAGGGTATAAGCTACGAACAAACACTTTCCACCTTTCCCTATCCTCTTGATGTTATTCCATGTTTTCCCACTTTTCTGTACATCGATTTCTATGACTCTTCTCCAGGTTCAACGAGGTATTCCCCTTGATCTTTTACCCTGTGGGTTCCAATCTAACACTTTCCTTGTTATGCAGATGCTTCATTATCTGAGAAGAGTATGTCCAATCCATCGCCACGGCCTTCTTCCCACCTCATCTCTTACTGGTCTCTGTCTTGTTCTTAACACTTCCTCGTTAGTGACCCCGTCTGTTCATCTGATCCTCAGTAACTTCCTTAGACACTTGTTCAAGAAAACCTGGATCCTCTTTATGCAGAGATAATAATAATATAGTTTATATATAATTATTTTTAAAAAATCGAATGAACCCTTTCACTACCTGGGCTGTTCTACAACCCAACAAAGAGTCCATGCTAGTCTCAGGCCTCTTGTTTAATTTTTTGTAAGACTTTTACGCACTTGCAGCACATTAGGTCGAAGTGATGAAGATTATAGGTTTTACAAGAGAGTAACAAACACAAAAAAGTAGGAGAGATACGGACGCTAGATATTTGATATGAAAGAAGGAACAAACCACACCAGAGCACCCACCAACCACCAGCTGTCTCAGGTCTGGCAGTAGAGATGGTTAAGTATCGTTCAGGGTGGTGGTTGGGGGGGGGGGGGGGGGGAGGGGCAGATCCACCAAGAATTACACACACACACACAAAACGAATAATTTTTAAACTGTAGAGTTGTGTTATGTCTCGTTTTAAGCACGGATAGGCTTATTTCTCATTCATTTTAATTCTTTTTTCATGGAATATATTAAGTAATATGAACCTAAGATTTATGCCTCAAAGAGGGTACAGTAGGGGTAGGACCAGTAAGCATGAAAACGCTGAAAAAGTATTGCTAAGTTTAGATAATTAGGGTAAACACCTATCCAACCCACCATCACCGAAAACCACCTCCCCAAAACATTGTATTATTACTATGTTCCATTGCAATTTGCAAACAAGAGCTGCTCCCTAAAATTCAATGCAAATACCATCTCCTTGTGTTAACATGCCACCAAATGGTGCTTGATTGATTAATGTAGTTGATTTTGGTGGTGGTGATTAAGTGCGTGTAAGTGCATCAGCACAATAATGACCACTTAATTCAGGAAAAAAAGACTCAAACAGAGAGCTAAAAAAGAAAATTAAAGAAAAGAAGAGAGGTAAGACTAACCAGGGGCGCCTTCCAGCCACTCGCTTTTCCATTTGTGATTGTGATGAAAAATTAATAATACTAATGTTTGAGGAGATGTTTCTGACCTAACCAAATGGCTAATCAGGATTAAACTTGGAAGACAATTCTTCCCTGCAAGGGCCACTGCTCTCTCAAAATGATTTTTTAAGTTTGCTTTTAGTAAAAGTTGTACGGCACTTGCAATGCAAAAAGGTCGTAACAATTGCCAAAGATTAGAAGTATTGTAGAGAGTCTACATACAAAGAAAAGAAGGAGGAGAGATAAGGAGGAGAGATAAGGAGGAGAGATAAGGAGGAGAGATAAGGAGGACAGATAAGGAGGAGAGATAAGGAGGAGAGATAAGGAGGACAGATAAGGAGGACAGATAAGGAGGAGAGATAAGGAGGACAGATAAGGAGGAGAGATAAGGAGGACAGATAAGGAGGAGAGATAAGGAGGAGAGATAAGGAGGACAGATAAGGAGGACAGATAAGGAGGAGAGATAAGGAGGAGAGATAAGGAGGAGAGATAAGGAGGAGAGATAAGGAGGACAGATAAGGAGGAGAGATAAGGAGGACAGATAAGGAGGACAGATAAGGAGGACAGATGTTTGATTGGAAAAAAGGAGCAAACCACACCAGAGAAACTGCCAACCATCCACTTACAAAATTTGCAAAAAATAAAGACAGGTCTACTAAAGAACTTCTTGAACTCTGCCTCCTCGTTGACAAAAAGGGCAAAACAAACATCACAATAATGTATAAATTCATCAATAGTTTATTACCAATAGAAGCTACAATTTATACATAAATACTAAAAGCCATAATTTCGTACAAAATTATATTCCCTTTCATGTAGCCTCCTCTTAAAATCCATTGATAGAGTAAAAAAAAAAAAGTTCAAAGGACAACTGGACCATTCCACCAACAAAACAGTACAATAAATAAAAACCACTTTAAATTGCTCCCATTCGGAAATTTGTCGCACAATGGCGTAGATAAAGACACAAATTCATTAATACATAAATCAATACACGAATACATACAAATAATAGTAAAACACAAAGTTACAAGTATTAGGCAATCCACACACCATAGATAGTCGCTGCAGGGCCCTGTTTTCCGAGTTCGGGTTCTTGAGTCTTGCTCAGCGACACACCCCTCTGATCAGCAACCTAACCATTGAGTCACAGACACACACTTGACACTATTTTGAGCTTGAGCTCAATAACCACGTGCTCACTGGAGTCCCCCTTTTTAAAAATAAAAGTAAGCGTTTTTACACCCCTATCAGCACAATTTAGATAATTTAGGAGGCAGGCTTCCGACCCTGCCTGTCAGGGCCAATGTGAGCAGAGAGGGACACAACATCCCAGCAGAAAGACTTGGATTGTACCCACTACGGATGCTCAGACACCGCAACCGACTGGCGGGTTTTTATTTCTTAATTTTTGCATGCTTTCTGCTGCTTCAACAATGACAGCAACAAAATCTTTATCAAATGCACACTGTTTCAAGTTTTTAAATATGTTACCATTCTAAAACTAAAATAAAACTCCAATTATTGAGCCACTTTCAATTTGCTCAAGAAATTACTGCGTATATGCATTCTCTTCCTCGTCTTTTCACAACAAAATCCGCCATCTCATTTCGGAGGGGTGGGTGTTGTCCTCTTTTTGTTCTTGCTCTTGTTCACTCCAGCCTGGGCCAAGGTGGCCCCCGTCGGCTTGAGTTGCAGCGAGTGGAACTGCAAGGTCTGCTGGCCTCCGGCTTGGCCCTTCTGGATGGCCACATGGGTGGCCAGTTGAGACGGCCCTTGACCGAGGGCAGAGCCCCCGCTCGCCAGCTGAATCAGCTGTTGGCCTGGTTTCGCTCCCACTGCGAGAGCCGTCATTTGTTGACTGGTCAGAACTGGGAAGTAAACAGAAGGACAACATTTCTGGGTCAGAAAAAAACAAAAAAAAAACAAAAACAGAGCCTCAATGGGAAGTCTGAAAGACTCAGTGCACCTTGGAACTTTTCTTTCCATGTTTGAGAGCTTGATTCCCTGAAGTCTCCTTGACTGTTCCCATAATGCATCAAGTATAGTATAGGTCTAGAAACTCGATTTGCATTAAAATAGTTATTTTTCTTTTGTTTAACTAGACTTAGTAAGCGTTTTAGAGCACACACAATAAGGTCATATATAAGTGCTGAAGATTAGAAGCATTACAAGAACCTGGCATACACTAAAAAGAAGTAGGAGAGATAAGGTCCATAGATGTTTGAAAAAACTCGCCGCACACATTTAAGGCGGTGGCACTGAATGATTCAAAAAGCATTACCATTTGTCGATAATATCATTGGGGAAAGAAAAACAATTTCAAATCAATGCCCTACTAGGGCTGAAGTATGACTGATACTATTTATAGAAGCGATGTATGACAAAAAGAATAGAAACGTATGACCTGACAGGTATCAAAAGAATGTTTCACAAACTCGGGTACCTGTAGAGAGTGGCACTGTTGACGTGGAGCCCTGCGCTGCCAGTTTGGTGACACCTTGCTGTCCGGTGGAGCTGGCGGTCAGTGTGGCCGACTTGACCCCTCTCTGCTGCTGCTGGAGGCTCAGCAGCTGGATGCCCTGTTGACCTTGGAGCTGAAGGAAAAAAACATGCGAAACAAAATCAGGCAAGGCAAGAAGGAAGAGTCTTCAATGAATTACATGAGTTTTCTCATACAAAAAAAAAAGAACAAAACAACCCCCGCAAACAAACAAGGTGACCCTTTTACAAAAAAGCCCGCCCCCCCCAAAGCCAGTTGACCTACCAGTAGAAACAGCATACGTGTGTATATTCTTTGGATGCTGCCGAGATTTTGCAAAAACAACTAAAAAATTTTGGAAAAAGTCACTTGGAAACAAAAAGTCATTTAATAGTCATGACTGATATGCCGTATGCGCCCGCACCGGCGACCCCCGCTCATTCCTATAGCGCCCGAATGCGCCCGCCACGGGGGTGTTTGTTTCGTTGCCACGAGAGGCTTCTACTTTTACTATCATCGGAAGTTTCACTTAGCTATCTTTATAGAGGAATAGTTCTGGTTTATTATGGTGTTTTTCTTGTTTCGCTAGCACAAAGAGTCACTTTTTGAGCGGGAACAAAAGTCGGAGGAGATTTTAGTTGTAAACACGCCATCATGTCTCTAGGATGCATGGGCCCAAAGCTGCCCGATATGAGTACGCCAGAAACAAAATAAAACCACCCAAAGAAAAGTCTTTTAGGTGCCTTATTTGCAAAATCTGCTTTGCAAGTTTCTACCAGAGGCTTCAATCTCCGTGAATGTGTTGTATTTCTTTTGTGTGGATTACCTCTATGTCAGTGGCAGAAACTTCGTGAGTTGAAGAAATACGAGATCTAGAACTAGAGATCCAGATCTATATCTACCTCAATGTCCACTCAACCAGCTCTTGTTTTATTTTCTTTCTTTGCTCTCACTTCATTATTTTTGTACACTATTTTCAATTTTCCTTCAGAGACTCCTTGTTTTTGTTGTGGTTTGTTTTTGAGATTTTATGTTGTTGTTTTTTTTTACAACCACCCCTTCTTTCCTACAAGGAACGCTCTCGGAATCCAAGACACACATCTCAGAATGACCTCTCATATCATTTCATACTCTTCCATTCCACTTATAATTTTGTACTTGTAATTTAGCTCATTCATTTTCCTTTCAGAAAATACTATTTTCATCATTTTTGGTTGTGTTTGTGATTTTATACAATTTTTTTAGTAAGGTACCCCTTCAATTTCCATGGAGTTATTGCCCTTGTCTTAAGGATGGGGGGCCACAGCTGGCCAAGCCTGCTAAGTGTGAAAGGGTTAAACAGAAAACATATCTCCTCAAACCCTTAACCTCAAACCAAATCCAAACACAACTAATAGACAACCCTGCATCCCCCCCCCCCCCCCAAAGAAAAAACCAAAAAAAACAATCCAAACAAAGCCAGTAAAGCCACCTGTAGGAAGGGCATGGGTGTGCGCATCCCTTGAGCTGTCTGAGTCTTTGAGGAGACAGGCATGATCTGTGTGAGCCCGCTCAGCCCCACGGGGAAGGAGAGCATGCTAGAGCCTTGAGGTAGAACAGTGGTCGAGTTGGACGACTGGCCTAGAATGGGGGAGAGATGAAATCATTACTTTATTACTTTGTTTTGTCTGAAATCATTAAGTTTAATTTCTGTTTTAGTAACAGCTTTATAGCACTTTTAACACAATTAGGTCACATAAGGTGGCAGGCTCCAAGACAGTAACAAACACAAAAAAAGGAGGAGATTGAGGATGACAGATTGACCCATGTATGCAGCGGGTCAAGACGGTGGGCATTGGACAAGAAACCCATCTCAAAACCCTTCACACTTTCTGCTTAATTCAAACTATTCAGGCAGACATGTACCAATAATGTCAGAGAGGTTTAGAAAAGGTCCCCACAATTGACTTATCGGGTTTATTCTTATTTTTTGCAAATCCTGTTCAGAAAGTTTTTATTTTTTTCACCAGCATCGGAAAGTCCACCAGGAACAGCACTTGAAAACAAAGCACACATATTTTATCCGAACAAAAATGTACCTTTGGACTCAGATCCTCAAAAACATATTACATGTAAATGCATTTTTTACCTACTGGTTGGCAGCTATTGTTTTTTGTTGTTTTTTTGTAAAGTATTTTACGGCGCTCGCAACTGCATAGGTCATATGAGCGCGCGGGACACACCTAATATTTTCAGTTGGTAGGAAATTTTGAATTTTGCCTGGGTGGCGGCCGAAGCCTACTCTTATCGATTTTAGACCACCAAGGGATCTTTAACGTGCGCAACTTGCACACGGGCCCTCCGAGATTTTTCGCCCTTGTCCGAGAAGGCTAGGTGTAGATCTTTCCTACCAGAAGATCAGGGGTGTGGCAGAAAGACAGCAGTAAGGAGGAGCCAAGGAGTAGCAGTAGAAAGGCTGCAGAAAGAGTCAGGAGCCCAGAGGAGGGGGCAAAGGGGGTGAGGGGGTGGGGCAGAAAGTCGAAATGAAAGCAGACAACAGAACATTGCTAGAGAGCAGGAAAGGAGGTGAAAGGAGACAATTTTTAGAGAAGAAAATTTTTCGGTTGCTACCAAGATTCGAACCCGGGACCTTTGAATGAGAGGCCAACACCTTAACTCTTATCCTGCGTCGGTGCCCAGATGCGTATCTTATCAGCAACCGATTACGTCGGACTCGCCGGGCAGGCCGCCGAGGTCACTCAGTGTGTACTGTTGGTGTACAGCGCGCGCGCCGGGAAACGTGTGTTTTCGACATGAATACCGCGGGAGTGTGTTAACTGATGATGAAAATAACGCTCTATCCTTCATAGCATTCTATTTATAAAGTGTTACAAACACATGAATAACCCTTCTCACAAGCTGATAAGACATTACGAGTAGTTACGCCCATTTGAATAACCTTTCTGGACGCTCTTGTTGTTACGAATGACCTGAGGTTCGAAAAGGGATAATTTAGGTCAATTTCCGAATGTTTTACACTCAAATTGTTCTTTGTACCTGCACAAGGGTATTCAAAACTATTAAACAAGCTCATTTTTTATCAGGTAGTATCATTTCATACAAAATCAAGCTCATTTGAAATATTTTGTATAGAAAAATGGAAGTCTTGTTTCCTGACTATCCTTTCGAGCTCCTCATGTCCAAGCGGGTCAATTTCTTCTATAATTTCATTGGACGAACATCTAGAGCTATCAACTTGGCATGTTTTGAATGAGACGTATGCCTCGATTACGAACCAACGCAGGTGGTTCTAGAAGAAGGCCACAAACGCACACAAACTTAAGCAGACTGACGCGCACACACTTGACCTGCGTGAATGGGGATCCGACTCGGGACCCGAATGACACGTAAGAGGATGCGCGCTGCGCGTGCGCTGAACCAGGAGCTACACTGACTCGGGACCAGAACGCAGGCGAGGTGCCGAAACAGGCTTATCGGGCTACATAAACCCGGCTCCCGCAGGATGAGGGTTAACCTCTAGGCCAGGAGAGCCCTCTTGGCAGCTATGAGTCTGAGCTTGAGTGAGGAAAGCACAGCAACACAGTAACGGTCATTTCATGCAGGGAAGAAATAAAGACAAACAGACAGAAACATCGGAGGGGAAAGAAAAGACGTCGGTTGAACTAGCGTGTGGCACTTTTCAACCACCCTCAATAAAATTCAAACAGAGTTCACAACGGACCCGTGGACATGGGGACGGAGGAGACAGAGGCGCTGGTGCTACTGGCCGGGCTGGAGGAGGAGGAGGCTGGCAGCGCAGTCACCATGGTAACCAGGGTAGCTGTGCTCGTGGTGGAGGCTCCCGTGCCCTGCAGGAGGAGAAAGAACGAGACAAAAAATGAGGGATGTTAACCATAGTGTATGGTATGGGGGTGGGGAAGGGGAAATGACAGTGCTGTTTCTATTAACTTATTTCTATTTTCATCCTATGGAACCATTTCTGGCCAAAAGTACTTGTGTCTGTGGTGTTAATACTTATGATCTTTGCTGCTGCAAACAAATGAACCAATAAATCTAGTTTAATTCCAGCGAGGTAGGTAAAGTTTATTGCGGTGAGTATTCCAATTTCTTTGCTTGGATACTGTTATCCACTCAGCCTGGATTTTTTTTCCTACACTATTCACAAATGAATGGTTTTGTCTCAAAATTCTTCGCATTTCCATAAGAGCTTGAAGCCATCAAGTACTTCACCAGGAGCCATCAGGCACTTCACCAGGAGCTATCAAGTACTCACCAGGAGCTATCAAGTACTCACCAAGAGCCATCAAGTACTCACCAGGAGCCCTGCCTGAGCCTGGAGGCTGTTGTTGATCATGGTGATGGGAACCGCAATCTGAACACGAGACACCAGAAGGTTAGACATGGCAGTGGCATCTCTTTGAACACGACAACGACAGACGCCAAAAATGGCACTACCAGCCAGCAACAACGTCATAAGACCATTGATAATAATAGTAACAACTGTCAAAGATGGCACAAACGGCTAGCAAAGAGGTCACTAGACTCTCAATGATAACAGTAACAACACTCGAAAAAAACAAAAACAACTATCAAAGATGGCACTAACAGTTACAAAAGACCTCACCAGACCCTTAATTTCTTAATGATAACAGTAACAACAGTAAAAAATGACACTAACAACTATGAAAGATGTCACTAATATCTACCAAAGACGTCACAGCACCCTAAATGATAACAGTAACAGCAACAAAAGATAATAATAATAATAGATAGCATTTGTATAGCGCATATCCCCGCTCAACAGCAGGCTCTATGCGCTTTACACTATATAACAGCAACAAAAGATAACAGTAAAGGGCTATGAAAGACATCACGAGACCGTTAATGATCAGTTACAGCAACCAAAGATGTCCTTAGACCCTAACTGATGACAGTAATGGTTATCAAAGACATTGCCAGACCCTAAACGATAAAAGTATCAAAGTATCAGTATCAAAGACAACAGCAACAGCTATCAAAGAGGTTATTAGACCATTAAACAAGGCAAACTGCAAAGGACTGGTTTCACACCCAAAAATACTGCCTAAACCATATCACTCAGACAGGGGAAGAAAATGTGTGTGTCGCATGCGCATGGATGAAAAGTATAATTGTGCTAATATATATACTAAATTCTAATTGTGTTAATTTACTAAATCCTCATTAATGAAAGAGAAAATATTAACCCAGTTTAACCCTGCTTTACAAAATGAGTGAAAGAAATTGGATCTTATAAGCTATATTTTTTGCGACAGCAATAATAATTATAATGTATTTATTTTATAAGGTCTCAGAAGCCTAGAGCAATATCAGCCTCTTTCACCGGAGGACTAACAAAGTATAACTGAACCTGTCCAAGACAAACTCCCACTGTTGAGGAGAAAAGTAATTATCTTAGACAGGGGTCCTCTCAGACAGTGTCATTATGACATGACAAAAAAAGCAAAACTGCACCGGGGGACGTGGGAAGTGGTCATTTGCGTGAAGAACTGTCTTGGACAGGTGACAGTAAGAGCGCGTTCCATGCTACATCCTTATCCTTTTTTTTTAGTAGAGGTTAAATGGCGCTCGCAACTGCATAAGGTCATATGAGCGCCAGAAGATTAGAGGTGTTACAAGAGAGTAACAAACATAAAAAAGAAGAAGGGGAGATAAGGACGATAGATGTCTCATACGAAAAAAGAAGCGAACCATATCAGAGCACCCACCAACCATCCTTATCCTTCTCCCTAACCTGCATCTGTCCAACATCTATCGTCCTCATCTCTGCTCCATCTTTTCTTTGTATGTTCCTCTCTAGTAACACCTCTCACCTTCCGCGCCTATATGACCTAATTGTGTAGCAGGCGCAGTACAACTCATCCTAAAACAAAAACAAACTGACCTGCATCTGCTGCAGCCCTGACAGGTTGGTGATGTTCACCCCGGGCAGGCCCGTCAGACCTTGTATGTTGATATTGGGAGGCAGGCTGCTCAGGTTGCCTATACTGATGTTGGCGATGCCGCCCGTTGACTGCTGCTGTCCTGTGCCCTGACTCTCTGTGGTCACCACTGCTGTTCCTGAGCTCAGACCTGCAAAGGAAGAAATGATGGTTTCGTAAAGACACAACGGTCATGTTTCTTTTCTTTGTACAGTCTTTTAGTTTTAGTAAGAGTTCAACGGCACTCGCAACACAATAAGGTCATATAAGTGCTAAAGATCAGAGGTGTTAGAAGAGAGTAACAAACACAAAAAAGGAGGACAGATCAAGAGGATAGGTGTTTGATGAGAAGAAAAGAGCAAACCACACAAGAGCACACACTTTGTACAGTCGAACCTGCTCTAGTGGCCTCTTGTCCAAGACAGTTACCTATACAAACTAGCACTTTCCACTCCACGTCCTTGCATTTTTCTCTATATAATGACACTGTCCAAGATAACCACTTTTCTTCACAATGGGTGGCTGTCTTGGACAATTTTGACTGTATTTTTGAACTTAATTCCTTGCAAAGACGACTACTGGCAGCCAAAAATCTTGACAGAATAAAATAGTACAAAAGAACATGAAATTAGTCGTACCTCCTATCAGACACTAATGTGTCATTACGAAGATGGGCCCCCGCACTGAGGGATATCATCCCATCGCTTGTCTCAATCACCGCAGTGGACAGTGGCAGCGCAGTATGCCACTGACAATTTAAAATTTAGAATCCAAGCCACTTCCCAAACCAAGATTGTCGATCAAATTCCTCTACAACGCATCTGCTTCTTCTTCACTCAATCTCATTATCCACTTCTCCGATGTTGCGGATGGTAAATTTTTTGGCATGCTGAATGAGAACCAAAAATTTTACTTACTTTTATCCGCTGCTTATACCCTTTTGGGTGCCACGGGAACCAAAAACTTAAATTCTAAATGACAGGGCAGATTTAACTCGGACTGTTCAGGAAAACCCATAAAATTAATTCTGGCTAATGGGAGTTAACGCATTACACCCTAAGGGCCTGGACGGGAAGTCCATTGTTAGATCCTAAGCAAGGGGAAAGAACCCACCTCCTGTGAATACAAGCCTTTAAAAAAACACATTTTAAAAATACTAAACAAATTCCAAAAATCCTGAAAAAATAAAAGTTAAAACGAATAATGAATGTAGTTTCAGAAATATATAACTTTATGTATGCACAAACTGTTGGAAATGTAACTTTAGTTCAATTGGGGTGTCCGACCCGTCACTCTCACTTTCAGCCTCGCGGTCGGGCCCTAGATCTAAATTCTAGATTTTCTACGTCTGATCAATCTGAATAGCCCAAAACTCTTGCTACAACGTTTTCATCAAAATCGGAGTCATCTGATTTGTCATATGCATGTTTTTGCTCAAATCTATCACTATTTCCTTTTTCGAACTCAATTGTGTTGCTTTTCAACAAGTCGAGACACCTCTGAAGTGTCGGTAACATGACCGCACTTCTATCAGCTCTAATACTAAAACTACTGGCCCGAAAAATTTCGTTTCGGTATCAAACGAAAGAAGAAACTTTTTCCAATAACTATGCAAATCAAAATCTCGGCCCCAGGGTCTCGTCAAGGCGAGACTTCGTTTCGAAAAACGCTAGGTCGGCGGGGGCGGTTCCGGGCGAGTCAGGGTGGAGTGCATAAGGGAATTCGCGGGCGAGTTAGGGTGTAATGTGTTAAGGAGCACACACAGGCTTCCACGGACAGTACCCTGTATAAAACTTGTGAGATTCTGCTGCTGTATCGTCTGTTGCTGCTGGCCAGAGGCTGTCGTCTGGAGGGTGAGCTCAGCCACCGATGACCGCCGAGAGCCAGTGGGGGTCGGTGTACGAGCATTCGGGGGAGGGGTCTGAACCGGAGTGGGTGTGGCTGACTTGGGTATGGCAATGATTGGGGTGGTGCTTGACAGGTTTCCTTGCTGGGCTGGTAGGGAAGGAGAGAAAAACATGTCAGTTTTTCATTTTTCTCAATTTTTGCTTCTTTCACAAAAATGAAATATCCCCGTAAGTTACTTTGCTTTATGCAACTTCAAAAGTTCAGCGTCAGACAAAGGTATGTTTGCTAGTATAAATTGTTAAATTGTTCATTTGTCATTTCCTCTGAAGGTACAACATGATTTTGTTCCCCTCTTTAAGTTAAGTTTTAATACAGGTTTTATAACACTCGCAACTGCATAAGGTCATATGAGTGCCAAGGGGTGGATGTCAACAAAGAAGTCCTTACAGGGAATCAGACTTACTCTGCTCATCTCTCTAGCTTCAACAGCACAAAGTCTGCTTCGACTATCAAGGCACCTCGGAAATAGCGGGTCACAAGAGAGTGACAGACATACAAAAGAAGTAGAGGGAAAATGCCAATAGTAAGGATTAGGAAAAAAAAAGCAGCAGTTCCCTGTTGCAGTTCAGGCACAGTTATGAGCTTGACACCAATGAATCAGCCCATTTACAATTCTACTGTGTATAAGAACAGGTTAACGTCCCCCCTTTGGGAATGGTCTAAAGACACTTCAGTCAGTAGCACCGCCCGGGGGGGGGGGGGGGGGGTGAGTTCAACCTCTACACATTAGTACAACACAAAAGATAGGTAAAGAGGTCTTGTCTTTTCTTTCTTCACTCCAAAGACAATTTGATGTCCCAGACCCAACTTACTTGTTGAGACTTTGGCCGAGACAGTGGCACTGGTCAGCGGAGAGGAATTTGCTCTGTTGATATATACAGAGAGAGATGGATCAAATTATTGAGAGAGAGAGAACGATCAAATCATAATTCAGAATTGTATTTCATTTAGGAGGTTCGACATCAGTACTGGCCTTCACACCGATATTCAATATGTAGTCTTACACAAAAAGCCCCCCTCACCATTGCATGCCGGTCGACCACAAGCACGAATGCGTAGTCTGGGTAGTTTATGCCTGTGGTTTCGCATGCGTGCGTGCGTGTGTGTGTGTGTGTGTGTGTGTGATGGAGGGTTGCAATAATCTAAGCAAGTGAGTACTACGTCAAGCTTAAGCCAAAAGCTTGTTAGTGAAGAATGTTAACTGAGAAGGTATAACTGGTTAGGTTATGTCTGTGCCTTCACAAGACGATGAGGTGTGAAATAGATCTGACGTCAAGTAAAAGGTTCGTGTACAACTACAGCACATGTTTAAAAAGTGCTGCTGCTCACCTCACTGATTCAGGTGCACCAGACCGTCACCGCTTTGCTCACCGCAATGTGTGCCTCAGTGAGCAGCGGTGAAGATACTAAAGGATCTCTGGTGCATGAGTTCTGTAGACTCAGGGTACTGGGACATGACTCATCCCCCCAAAGAAAAGTAACAAACCTACAGACTATTACAAAAGGAATACTATTTTTGTCCCTTTTAAAGTAAAAAAAGGACAAAATTTACTCCATCTCTTACAGAAACTGTACTTGCGGGCCACAGCTTTCCCAATATTCTGGATAATTAAGCCATTCCATATCCTTTTTTAAAGGGACATTCACGAGTATCCCATAAAGGAAAAAAACACCAAGCATACCCACCCCCCAAAAATAAAAACAAAAACAAAAGGACAACTTTGTGTAAGAACTGTTTTTGACACAATAACAGGGAAAAGCGAGACACACAGACAGACGGACAAACAGTCAGAGGGGAAAAAAAAGTGGTGCCCACCACCCACTTGTGTAAGAATGGATAGAAAGAAACTGACCTGTGCTGCGAGGCGAGGGAGGCCGGAGCCTTGATCCGCTGTGCTGTCATGACTGCTGTGGGCACCGCTGAGGCGATGTATTGGGCTGACATAGAGGACGATAGACTGGCAGACGTAGGCTGGGCAATTATACCTGACAGACAAAAGACAAACAACTCTTAGGGGAGTTTAAGAAAGCAACTTAATGCTACAATTGTTCATCCACAGGAATTTAGAAAGCGAGTTTCTTTTTAAAAAGTTTTAGTAAGAGTTTAACAGCACTTGCAACACAAATAGGTTATATAAGTCTCTCTCATATCCAAACACACACACACTCTCTCTCTCTTTCTCCTTCAGACCAAGACAGACTGGCAGTTTGGCCGAGAGACCTGCACACACAAATACGATAAATGCATGCAGACATTCTCTCACATGACACACAATTCCCCTCACCTTGAGAACTACACAGATTGGCTGCAGGGCTGATAGAGACATGTGTCACACACACACACATTCTCTCTTTCACAACAAACATACACACAAAATCCCCCTCACCCCGAGAACTACACAGATTAGCAGCTGGGCTGATAGAAACCTGCATCATATACAGGGCTGATAGAAACCTGTGTCATATATACACACAAAAAAACAACAACACACAGTCTCTCTTTTTCACAACACACAATCCTGCTCACCCTGTGAACTAGACAGACTGGCAGCGGGGCTGATGGACAGCGACAACTGTATGGGGATGTTGCACTTGGCAGCCAGACTGGCCACGCTGCCCATGTCTCCGGCCCCGCCCTTGACCGCTGGCTGACCGGCTGCCACCTGCTTCATGAGGGTCTGGGCGTTGTTGATGGTGATGGCCGTGGGGGCAGCTCCGGCCGCCGTGGGAACCTGAGGCACCACCTGAAACAGGAGGAACAGTCAGGCTTGGTTTGATTTTTTTTAAAGTAGAGATTTTACGGCGCTCGCAACTGCATAAGGTCATATGAGCGGCAGAAGATTAGGGGTGTTACAAGAGAGTGAGAAACACAAAAAAGATAGATATTTGATGGGGAAGAAGGAGCAAACCCCACCAGAGCACCCGCCAACCACCCACTAGTTTGAGTGTAGAGAAGCACATCCACGTTATAATAGTCATTTAGTTTTATTTCTTTTTGGTTTTAGTAAGAGTTTTACGGCATTTTCAACCCAATAAGGTCATATAAGTGCTGAAGATTAGAGATGTCACAAAAGAGTTACAAACACAAAAAAAAGATGGAGGAGAGATCAAGACAAATTGATGTTTGATAGGAGAGAAAGAGCAAACCACAACAGATCCCCTGCCAACCACCCACTTAATTATGTTTGTTTGAGTAGAGAGAAGCAAATAAAACATGATAACGGTCATTAAGTGAAAGGAAAAAGAATGACGGTCAGAGGGAAACAATAGAGGGGAAAAAAGAAGTAGAAACTACCAGTGGTGCCCTCCAACCATCCGCTTGGTTTTATAGAGCAAGGAGCAAGCAAGATAGACAGACATTGGCTGATTTCAACCTCATCTTTCATATACAACAAAACATCTTGCGCACATAGGAATTGAACTCCCATCTTTTGAACGTAAGCAAAGCAAGCCAGTTAAGAGACACATTTTAAAAGAACTACACAAATACATCAGCCAAGTGGCCACAGACTAACTAGCTATTCTGGTACAGAAAACACAATAATGACCAAAGAGTAAATTTGAGACATAAAACAATATTTAATTCCCACATTCTCAAACAAACCAGCTCCCCACCTACAAAATGACCTCCCCCCCCCCCAATAAACCAAAATCAAAGCTATTAAAAGAACAACAACATATTAATTTGTACATCTAATACGAGACGAATAAATAGAAAACAAGTACTGGAAAAAACAAATTACCTGCGTGTAGTACACACTTGGGGCAGGCTCATTCGCCTTCTGAATGGAAATCTTCACTTGTCGTTTCCCCTCCTCCGTGAACAAATCCTTGAACTGCTGCAGATATCTGAGCAGGGAGAAAATGAACAAACGAATTTGTAAATCCAAAGCCAGACGATAACTTAACGTATGCTCACTGGCAAATCGATACAAATGAGTACCCTCTTCCACAAATAAACATATACATACTATAGGATAAGAGAAACAAATTGTACCCATTACTAAAGGATAAGCAATCATCCTAAACTTAAAAATATAAGCGCAGTTGAACTCAAGATCATAGAGAAAAATGACCATTACAGACAGGTGACTCACTAGTCTAGACAAAGTCAATGGATCGTTAAAAATCTTTCAATCTCATTTTTATCAAAATTGTCATCTATCCTAAGAGATTCTATGTCCACGCATTGATTGAACAAGCACATACAGTCTAAGGATGGGTTGGAGGAAAACTTTTGTAGCCAGTGATAGCTACGAGATTTTGAGGCCGATTTGTTACAAAAACTTATTGAACGTGGCCGTCTTGAACTGGGACTGCTTATGGACAGGTTAAAAATAAAGAATAAAAAGGGAACACCCAAGGGTATCATAGAACAGTGGCCATGCTATTGAGAGGAAAAGCAAAAGCGGGTTCTCTTTATATGAATGATACCACTTAGCAGGTTTTCATATTATCATCATCATCAAGTGCCACATCTGCGGCAGACATCATCGATCATGGCTCTCCATTCATTCTTTTGCAGGGATGCTCTTAAAAAGCCGTTTTTTTTAGCAGGGATGAAAACCTGCCATGGAACAGTATTGCTGGGTGGCAATTTTTCACCACCTGCTATAAACCACAAGGTGACGTGCTTGCCATGTATCAACCCACAGATGTGTGTCATATTTGTTATGTGAGGCTAGATGTAAATCTTCACACAACAGCATGAATAGTGCAGTGGTTGTCACCTCAACCATTCAAACTCTTCAATAAATCATCTCAAAATTAAGCGAAATATTGATGGTGGTTATGAATATATATTAAAAAAGGAGAATAAAAGATTATACACCAATTACTGTGTTCATAAAAATTAAACAACAACAAAAAATCAGTGAAGAAAGTAAAAATTTCAAAGAGAAAATAAATATGAAGACAATGAGTTCTTTATTAATGCTCCCTTTTTCTGTGTAATTTCAACTGTCCTTTACTTTCTCCATTCCCCAATCTCTTTATTCGCCTCTTTCTCAAAACATAGTCTCTCCCCCATCCCCACTTCTTGCCTCCCATCCTCACTCTCTCTAAGGCCAGACTAAGGGAATAAAACACATAAACACCAAATGAAAAAATATCATGTCACAAATAAATTTTAAAAATCAACGAAGAAATTAATTTTCCACACTTCATATAACATGTTCTCTTTCATTCGTTCTTCCACACCTCATTCTCTTTTAAATTCTCTGTCTATCAGTCCTCTTCCTCCATACAACCCCCTCTCTCTATGTATATGTAACTGTTCTTAATGTTAAAGTAAAGCAGAAAACACTTCTATCTTTCTCCATCGCCTTTTCTTTCTGTCTGTCCATCCATTTGTCTCTGAATCTCTTGCTTTCACTGACGCAGACACACTTTCTCCCTCCCTCCCCAAGGATAAACGAATACTCAAACACAATTGCATTACATGAAGAAAAAACAACAACAAAAAAGCAAAAACCAATCAAACAAACAGAAAAAATAAACTTCTAAAAAAAACAAACAAAAAACCCCCCAGAGTACAACTGTGTCACACTGCAAGGCAATGAATAACTATTTAATGATTTTATAAGTTATGATCGCATGTGGGAGAACAGCTGTTAATTCCTGTAATTTTTTTTTTTAAAAGCCTGACAATATGACTGCGCGGCAAGAAATTAGTGAGAAATGGAAAAGAAGTGGACCTAACATTGAGAAAAAGAAGCTCTATAACTATAAGGAGAAAGTTGTCAAACCTGGTGTGAGAGCTATATTAAGTCATAAAACTCATGAGGGCCTTTAACACGTATCAATCACTTTCACACTTGTGGCTTCCAGGATTTTTACACTAGGTTTTGCTCATAGTCATGGAATGGCAGGCTTCTTTCACATCAGCAAAGAGAGCTTGTCAAGTTGTGTATCTCTAGGTAACTTAAAAATTTATTTTTATAAATAGACATTACGTTTTTTTGGGTTAGCAGGTATTCATCCACTGCCATTGATATGTAGGCCTACTAAGAACAAGAACAGAAGAAGAAATATGTTTTTTTTCTCTGTTAGATCCACCTTTTATAACTCCATAAAAGAGAGCACCTATATACTTGTAACAAAGAGCATCAATCCGTTGTAAACATACTTACTTTGATAGTTGAATTTCAACACTCTCCCCAAGGAGATAATTGGCACAATAAAACAGACATCAGATCATTATATTGACAGAAATAATTGTAAATGGTTTATGCCTTCACTAGTACAACTCGTATTATTTAGAAGGTGGGCTGCTTCCGGCTAGCCTGTCAAGGCCTACCTCAGGGGGCTCTCGTGGCCTAGAGGTTAAGGTGTTGGCCTCTCATTCAAAGGTCCCGGGTTCGATTCCGCGTAGCGACCAAAACATTTCCTTCTCTAAAATTGTCTTCTTTCACATCCTTTCCTGATCTCTAACAATGTTCTGTTGTCTGCTTTCATTTCCACTTTCTGCCCCCACCCCCTCTGCCCCCTCCTCTGGGCTCCTGACTCTTTCTGAAGCCTTTCTACTGCTACTCCCTGGCTCCTCATAACTGCTGTCTTTCTGCCACACCCCTGATCTTCTGGTAGGAAAGATCTACACCTAGCCTTCTCGGACAAGGGCGAAAAATCTCGGAGGGCCCGTGTGCAAGTTGCGCACGTTAAAGATCCCTTGGTGGTCTAAAATCGATCAGAGTAGGCTTCGGCCGCCACCCGGGCAAAATTCAAAATTTCCTACCAACGAGAAAGTATTAGGTGTGTCCCGCGCGCTCATATGACCTTATGCAGTTGCGAGCGCCGTAAAACCCTATACTAAACAAACAAACAAAGGCCTACCTCAGCTGCATTGGAAACAGCATCTCAACAGAAAGGCAAAGGTACTAAAAAAAAAGACTGCCCCACATGGGAATTGAACTCACAACCTTTAGCATGCGATGATGACGAGCCAAACCAGAACACTACCAAAAAAAAAAATGGCCAGAATATGACTAATGACTTTGACTCCAAGCACTTTCAAAAAGAGAAGAGCATATACAAACCTGTCAACAGACTGCCTTGCCCCAATCACAAACCTGTCGAGGAGAAATCGTTGCATGGAACATAGTACAACGAAAAAAACCCGTGAAAAACCTTCCAGCATATACTTCCATACAAAAACAGGTTTTTGTCAACATATATTACTGAAATACCAGTCTGTGGAAAAAGATTTTGCATCACATACAGGAAAGCCAACAAGACCTTTGTTAAAATACAACACCAACAGTTATGTCACAAGAGAGTAAAATGGCATTGAACAAACAGTTCATAACCGATTGAGGACCCATATATTCCTAGGAACCTATGAAAAGTATGGCATTTTTAATTCTAAAAAATTAGAACTAATCTGTTTATTGATCAATCAAATCTATTAATTTGTACATGTTACGCATAATTGAACGTCTTTCAAAGAAACAAAACTATCATGAACCTGAACTTGAAAATTTTTAGGTATAGGGTAATGAAAATGAGTCCAAATTTGAGGCCGAAGAACAACATTTTTTGCTATTGCATACGGATGTATGTCTCTTTCTTGGGTGACACATATTCTTCATTTATATCTGAATCATAAAAATTTGAGACCAATTTAGACTCTCATAGTCGTTATATTCCTCAAAGGGATTAGTTATATTCCATTTTGAGTTCATTATAGATGTCAGTGACGATACAGACTTAACATACAATGATTGGTTTGTTTACAGAAATAAATGAAATTTAAAAAATAACCGTACCCTAATTTTTTGCATTAAAAAAATCTGAAAAACATTAACTTTACATGCTAAAGAACTTTTACTGGTACCATTTCAAAGCAAAAAAGTAACAATTTGAACCAATTGGTATTGCATATTTATGAGTTTCACAACTAAGAAATTCTGAATATTGAATCACAAATTCACATTAAGCAGTCAGAGATTTCAGATAACTGCACACTGTGATAATTGTCCTCAGTGAGTTAATCCATGGAGCTCCCTCCTACCGAGCCAACTGGACCTGTACACCTGAGATCATGTAAGTCAACTGCTACACATACACTGCCTATTCAGATGCATGTGCACGGTGCATAGAAAAATAAAGGTAGTCACACTGAGGCTTGCTTTTGGGTCCTTTGAGTTAAGGGATTACACACTTACAATATGTCTCCCTTGTCATTATACTCCAAACACATACATACATACTATATAAAAGCCCAAACCATGATATATATTATTTGTTAGAGACAATAACAACATCATCTATTTGAGTTTGGCCGAAACTCACTTAAATCATATAAAAAAGTAGGGTAAAACTCCCAAGTCTTTTTTTCGTTTGCGCATTAACCCCCCCCCCCCAAATTATGTCTGTCTTATGTCATTATTCTCTAAAAGAATTGATCATAAATACTATGTCAAAACAGTTATATATCATTTGTTAGAATAAATAAGGACAACATCATCAGTTGGGGCTTGGCCCAAACTTACTTACCCCAATTTCACAACAACAACAACAAAAACAAAAACAAAAACAAAAAATCCTGAGAAGACCTGTCCAAGTGAAATGTTACTCTGTACATGATAACCCTGCATCGGGAAGTAAAAGCTTACCGGCAACGCCTGCCCTCCTCCCCCGAGCGGCCCTGACTGTAGTCGTAGTCCAAATAAAACTCCCCGAAGTAGTTGTCACCAGGCTGCGGCTGCCAGATGGAGATCTTGGCCATCATGTGGCGGTCTAGACCCGGGTCGCGCTCCATGGTGTGTTCCTCCACAAAGATCTGGCGCACAAAGATTCATTACAAATGTTTTCCATCTCCTTCGACAGATTTTGAACATAAGGAGACCGCAGAGACCAGGAAATAACCTCTAAAAACTTCATGAAACAGACTGGAGTAGTAAAATCAAAACAATAAATACAAGCAGATTTGATTTTGTTTGCCATCGCAGATATACAGAATTCATCACAATACAAACAAGCACTTCAACAGTTACTTGACTTTTTCCTAATACTGTAAACTCACGCTAAAAAGAGACACAACGTGAACCTTTCTCAATATCATTTCAAGTATGAGGACATAACACTTACAAAATCATTGTCTATATCTAAATAATGTATTCAATACAGGAATGTGGTCAGTCTTCAGGTGACACCAAAGCTTTCTTTTCACACATACCATTCCGTCTGTACTGGTGAACTCAGGAAGCTTTGCAAATTTCTTCACCTGGAACAAAAGGAACATACATGCCTCTTAAAAGAAAATCAACTATTAATAAAAAGAAGCAGAACAAACTAAACATATATGAGTTCCTGAAAAAGTCAGTAAAATTTTAATGACTCAGATACACATATTTTTGCATCCTAGCACACGAATGAAAATGACATATTATTTACACAAAGCTGAAATTTTAAAAAAGAGCTCAGTACTCAGAAAAAGCAGATGGAAAAGAATCAATACGACCAAATATGCCTTAATTTGGTGTCCCACAAATAAAGAGCAAAGAACATGTGAGCAGACTGATTGATAAATCAATAACTATAAGTACAATGTTGATCACAGTATAAGAAATAACCCCCCCCCCCCCAAACCCATACAGACTAAAAAAAAAAAGCAAAGGCAGGCAGCATTATTTCAAAATTTAAACAATGACAAGAACGTAATTTTCAATAAAACTAGAGAGATCCCGACTCACATCGCAACTCTCTGGAACCGTCAGCTGAAACTTCGTCTTCTCTAAGAAGTTGTCTACCATCTGAGAGGCAAAACGAAAAAAAATAAAAAATTCATATGTACAGGTCAAGTATTCAAAGGAGATAAACAGAAAAAAAAAGGACAAAAATTAATTTTTCACTTGTGAGTGTCATGTATGGCACAAAAATCAGCATTTTAAAATAATAGATAAAAAGATAGGCACACAGAAAATAAAATAGGGACAATATACAGAGGCGCCAACTGGCTACAAAAATATTCCTGAACTTTTCAGATTGTGTGGAAATGAGTGCCCAGGGACTCAAGTCTATTTACATTTACATCTTATGCATAACTGAATGTTTTTTAATTCTTTCAATACATTTTGTATCAAGACTATTTTTATGTAGAGTGCAAAATGACATGCACTAGTTGGACAAAACCAGGACAACTTCGGAAATCCGAATTTCTCAATCTATCTGGAAAATCAGCACCTCCGAATATATCAATCAGGACAAACCACTGAGACACCTTACCAGTCTAGCTTTACTGAGACCAGAAGAGCCAGTAGGCTTCTTGCTTTCTTTCTTTTTCTGTAAGAAGTCGTGGAGCTTCAAGTTCTCTGGGGCAGGGGCCTGCTCCAGTTTCCGCTTTCTATTCAGCGCTGACTGACTGTTCTTCTTCACACACCTGAACATCAAGACCACAAATAACATTTTAAACTCAGGATTTTCCTTTAATATAACAAATTATAAAAATGTTTAAATTTAAGTTTGTCTCAGAACCTGGTTATCAATAAAAAGGATGACTTTAGAGGCGTACATTGTTTTTCTATGTTAGTCCCATTGACATAAAGAATAAAGACACCACATGACAAGAACAGTACAGAAAGGGTATTGAAAACATTCTGACAAAGAGAAGAAATATTACAGTTCAGTTGCAGCTAATAAAAAACCAGCACAATAACGTACAAAAATTATCAAGAAAGACATTAGGACAAAAATGCAAATTATGTAGTAGTCAACACTTGGAAGGAGACACTGAGCAGGCATATCAAAATTACTATATAGTATTTATTGATTGCAATGAGTGACAAGTTTTATTGACAGCCACAAACCAGAGAAATAAAGAAGCATGTGCTGACATGACATGACATACCTCTTGAGGGCCGGGTCGTTGAGGAACTTCTCCTCGTACTGCAGAGCATTCTCTACCATCATGACGGCCGGTGAGGGGTCCAGGCACAGCGGCTCCTCCGTGGCCAGGATAAGCTCTGACTCCAGGTGGAAGAGGTCATCCTGTGTCCAGCTGTGGCCGTCGCAGCTCAGGGCGATCACGTCGCGCAGCATAGACTGAGGACAATGTCGGAAACATCGGAAAGGGGAATGGCGGCGCGGACTTCATTAGTATTAGGCACAGGGTTTTAACATACGGGTCACTTTCTCTTTCAGTTTCAAAGTTGTTGGACTGGGGACGTTAAGTTTAAGGCCTCCCCATGAAAGATAGATGATGAGGGGGGAGGGGGAGAGACGGCTTCATTAATATATACAGTGCAGAGACTTAACAAATTGCCACAACATTCATTCATAAGTGTCTAAGAAAGTTACTGAGGATCACATGGACAGACAGACAGGGTCACCAACGAGGAAGTGTTAAGGAAAACAAGACGGATCCCAGTCAGAGATGAGGTAGGAAGAAGGCGGTGGCGATGGATTGGACATACTCTCAGGAAGTCAGGCAGCTGCATAACGAAAAAAGTGTTGGATTGGAATCCACAAGGTAAAAGATCAAGGGTAAACCTCGTGGAACCTGGAGAAGAATAACATAAATTGATGTTCAGAAAAGTGGGAAAAAATGGAATAACATCAAGAGGCAAGCCCAGGATAGAGACTGGTGCAGGGTGAGAAAGGCAATGATGATGATGATGATGATAACAGCAACATTCAAATGTACCTGAGGTGACGGTCGCAAGAGGACATATTGAGTATCGTGAGAACCAGTAGCTGATCGCCTGTAGTCACGAATTTCTACCACAACGCAGCCACTGTAGAAAACATTCATCTGAGTCTGAGGAGAAGATATGATGGAGTAGATGATTTACATCACTATTAACACAGCTTCTGAAGAGAAGGAAAAAAAAAAGTGGAGTGGCTACAGCCTTACAGCAACCCCCTTGGAAAAAAGGTCTTGGCTGCTATTAAGTGAATGTTGCTCTTATCTGGGTTGCTGTTAAGTGGACAGGATCAAGACTCCTTGCGATTAAACATCTTGCTATGAAATTTGGTCAATTACAAAAAAACTAACTGCCTTAAACACAACTACAAAAAATACCTAATCACTGATAGACACTTAAAAAGTCCTCATTCCCCTGATCTCGCACCCAGAAGCAATTATTAAGTCAACTAAAACTACAGATTGAATAAATGTACTTTCCCACAAAATTGAAAAGTATTATAATTAAAAAAGGATGCTTTTGAAACAGTCAAAATGTGACAAGGAACCTTCGAAGTCCTTTTCGGGCGAAATTCATCATAGAGGGAGCTTTTTAACAATGGAAACAACGATAAAGCAGTAACACAAAGGTGGAAGAAGAGAGAGAAAAACTGAAGAAAGTCTGTCCACCAATTGTGTTCTCACCTGGGCTTTTTCGAGAAGATCCAAAAGAAATGGTGGAAGCTGTAAGGACACAGATATCAAAAATTATTTTTCTTTCAGAATATGAGACTGTCAACAAAACTCATCGCAATCAATAAATACTATATAGCAGTATAGTAGTCTCCGCCTAAGGTCCGGTGCTCGGGAGCAAGGAAAGCGGGATCTTAGGCGAACCGGGATCTTAACTGACGAACCCAGGGAAGAATCTATGGTGACCTATGTTAAGGCTCACAATCTGAAAAATGGTCTCCCTCCACTCTAAAATGAACTGACGTGACCCCTTGGTGGGTTTATGACACTTGGCGAGCAAAGAGTGGTTAACTTTGATGACCTATCACAATGCATAGTTGCATGATGCGTGCCATTTTCACATTATTATCCTATCAGGAGTCTCAAGATCTACGCTTATCCAGTTGCCCCTCCCCCTTACCTGTAGAAAATTTATAGCTTTCCATCTCTGACCGAGCCCCCCCCCCCCCCAACCGCCTTTGTCGTTACACACCATTACGTTGTGAACACACCAATTAAAATTCAGTCTGTCTCCCGAATTCGGGAATAGAGACAACTGCCGCAATGGTCAGGGAAGAGTTCACGGTTCAATGTGATCCCGCCTGGAGCGAACGTGTAGGCCTTACCCACCCGGCGAGTGATGTAAGTTTAGGGGGAGAGCTCAGGTGTGAGTACGATGTTCGGGGAAAACAAACGTGTCGGTCAGTTCACACCCCGGTGTGATCCCGTCTGGGGCAAACATTGTATCACTTCATCAAGTTTTACAACGTGTATGTGATCACATTCACGATAGTGGCTGATCTTTGATGTGACGGACAGTTTATTGATCTCAACTTTTCACTCTTGTTTGAACGGCTGTCCCGCCCGGGTTTTTGTTCCGCAAATTATGATCTCAAATGTGGGATCTTAGCCGAATGTAGACCTTCAGAGTGAATCAGAGTGGGATCTTACGGATGACTTTTGTATAGTAAAAATTCTGTTTTCTTAAAACAGCGGGATCTTAAGCGAACCGGGATCGTAAGCGGTGGGATCTTAGGAGGAGACTACTGTATTGGTATGACTGCTTAGAGTCTCCTTCCATAAGAGAAATCATAATGTTAACCACAATTAAGAGCACATGCCCAGTTATCTTTACAGATGACAATAGATTACAATAACAATAGTAGCCTAATGACAATAAGAATAGCAATAGCAGACTGCTGATAAAATAATCTGTTCAACCTTGCCAAACAGAATGGAAATATATTAAAGACAAAGTTAATCATCATAATACTAAGAAATAATTAAAATAATAGTAAACAGTGTTTGTATAGCGTACATCCCCTCTCAACAGCAAGCTCTACGTGTTTTACACTCTAATTACCCCAGCATATCCAAAAACACTCAACATTCTCGGCTTTCCTGGAAGCATACAGTGCAAGCAGCTGATTAAGCAGCCAAACGCTAACAAACAGACAAAATCTCTGGCTGTCTGTTGCCAAGTACCCATTCCCACCAGCCTTTCCCAAGAACACAATGTCAGCCCCCTGGTGGGGTTCAAACCCATGACCTTATCATTGCGAGCCCAAAAGTCTAACCACAACACCACATATGCCACAAGTACATACAGTCGTGCCAGATGCTCCCAAAAACAGATTTCTGTGAGTTCTTTTCGTGTTTTGAACATTATGAGACTGATCGTAAAGGATGTGGAAATAACTTTAAAACTCTTTTAGAACACCTACCTGAGCAGCATCAACATATTCCAAGATTTCAGACTCCTGGAATGAAAGGAAACAGAAAAAAAAAAATGAGCATTAACAAACTGAAAAATATATTGAATCTACACATGTGGGGAAAGGAGGGGGGGGGGGGGGGGGGAGGGGGGGGGGGGGGGGGTGTTGTAGTGGGTTCTTATCATGGTCAGTGAAATTAATTAAACTTCTACAAGATCTGCAAGCATTAAGCAGCTCACATTCGTCTCATAAAAAGAAAAGGTCAATCATAATTATTTCTACTTACACACAAAAAATATTAGTAATACAAACGAATGTACATTAAAAACAATATTATCTTCAACTACAAATGAAACATAGCATGAAAACATAAGTAATGTCTGAGTGTTTTCACATCTGAACCCCCCCCCCCCCCCCAAATGCAAATTGAAAAGATACACATATATTAATTGTATTGAAGAAATCAAGTCTGATGCTAATAATATTACAGCGCCTGCATCAAGAACCACATTTGTCTTCACCTCATACGGGAGTTTCATAGTCTCTGACTCGACTCCGCTCCTTGATCTCAACATGATGGAGTAGCCTTCGTTGCCAGGATACAAACTCAAAACCATACAGTTTAACCTTTCACGCTTGGCAAGCTTAGCCAACAAATGACTTGCGTACAGAAGATTCTGTTTAAAAAAAAGAAAGGGGGGCGGGGGAAGAAGAAGAGTTACCTCTTTATTAGTCACATGATGCTTAGTTTAGCTTGAGTAAAAAAAAAAGAAGGAAGAAAGAAAAAAGACAAGGACGAGAGATGTTTGATAGGCAAGAAGGAACAGACCACACCAGAAAGCCCACCAACCACCAAAGCAACAGGACGTCACAATGGCAAGTAAGAAATCCATTTATATTTTTGAAAGTTTGAAATCGAGTTGTTCTGAACCAATGAGGATGTTGTTGAGTTAATGGAACTTTCTTGTGACAAGGCACAACAACTGCCACCACAATTTACCAAAAAAAGTAGAATAGAGCAATGCTAACTCTGAAAAAGAAAAAGAAGAACCAGATCACATCAGATAAATCAGCCAACCATCCATAATCACAAAACACAACTATGTCGTTTTTAATAAAAGGCCACAAAGAAACCATAACTAGTACCCCTCACAACGACTCATCCTTATTCCTAAAAAAAAGTACAGTGTGATGACTTCCTAAAACAGAGCTCAACTGGGAAAAGATGGGTAGGCCTACTGATTTTTTAAAAGATTTCTTTTGAGCCAGAAGCCACCATCGTGATGAGCTATGACAACACGGGTCTCAATTACAAAGCAAGCGAAAGCTATTCAAAATTTTAAAAAGTTATGGGACTTAAAAACTCTTTTAATCCATTGGAGCTACGTTTAGATAAAACTGTGGAGCAGAATATAGACCCACTCTTTTTACTTTAGCGAAGATAGCACAACGACAACAAAAACCAAAAGGAGGAAATAAATCCCAATCAGGTCTACAAATATAAAATTCTTACGGTGTCTTCAGGTTGTTTCATTGTTTCCTCAATGTAGAGGTCCATTAGCTTCTGGTGAATGGATTTACTGGAGAAAAAAACCATTAAAAAATTAGATGTAATAATCAAATCACAAAGAGATACAAGTCTCATGTCTTCACACAACAGATATTTAAGGAAGTATTCCAACTGTGTGGATAGCTGAAAGTTTGTCATCAGACACTGTTGACCAACCAGAGCAAAGAAAGAAAAAGCAATAGAATAGTTGTGAAGCATTAAGTATAGAAATTAAACTGGACCAGAATTTACTCAGGTTACCCTCCAGTCATATAGAGTACATATTATACATTCATGTACCATAGGAAAAATCTGTTGACTCTTTGGGTGGCAGGCTTGACTTATGTTGCCTCCGTCTTTTTCATTCTTTTTTATTGCAGGTGTTTTTTTTATACCCCCATCAACACAATTTAGATAATTAATTTAGAACGCAGGCTTTCGACCCTGCCTATCAGGGCCAACCTGGGCAGAGAGGGATACAAATCCCAGCAGAAAGACCAAAAGACTCAATAAAATGTTCTCCCCACTTGGGAACTGAACTCAGGTCTCCGGCAGAAAAATGGTGAAATGGTACAGCTTAAATGCCCCTATGGTCTCCTGAGTGCAACAGCGAAGTGCCTTACTGCTACACCACAGACACCAGTTGCCGACATCTGTCTGAGAACTGTCTGCCAAGCATGAAGCATGTCACACTAGTAGCCCTCCCCACTTTTCTACACTTCGTCGTAAAGTTTCAAAGTTAAAGCAATACCGGGAAACTACCCCGCAATGACTTCCCTGTGTATTTTGTTTGGTACCATATTGGAATCTGCACAAAGTACTAATGCTTTAATTACGAAAAGCAAACTGTTTTTCTAATTGTGAGTATTGAATAAAAAAGACGGAGGCACCCATAGGCTGTAAATTTCTTGTTTTATACAAAAATGTGGGTGCAGCTTACAATTTCCACGTTTTTAATACATTTTCTTGAAATAAATTCTGATCATTTTGATGCATGATACATGTGCATAGCTTATCCATTTTTCCCCTTAAAATTCTATCCTGGGCTGTGACCAATTTTAGCCTAAATGATCCTTCTACACTAGGAATCATGAAAATTTAACCTACACTCTAAGACTAGAAAAGTGAGAAAAAATGAAGCACCCCCCCCCCCCCCCCCCCCATGTAAAATGAAGGGACATACCTCTACCCCCCCCCTCCCCCGACTTCAAGACGTCATTCATTTTCATTTATTTCATGCCAACTGATTGACCTAGAACCAGCTCGAAAACAAAATGTTTATCTAAAAAAAGACCCCTGAAACCTCAAAGCCTTCAAAATGACCTATTTGAGTCAAGTGAGGTATGGAGTTGGTACCAAAACATACACGAACAAAAGCTTACTTTTTGCTTGAGGAGCCACTACCCCCTCCAGGCTTCACAAAAGTAGCAGGGCTCTTGTCGGAACAAGCCAGCACATACTGAAAAACAAAACAAAATGTAAAAAAAAAGAAAAGCCAAAATACATTTTTGTTTTAACATAAGGCACAAATATTTCTGCATCAGTGCTTTGAAATTTGGCAGTATATAAGACCAAGATCACAGTTGACCTCTTTAGTAAAGGCTACAGTTACCAACACCCATTTGTATACAAGTATACTTCATCTGTGCAAGTCCATTGTTTGAGGAGGAGGAGAAGGAGGAGGAGGAGGAGCAGGAGAAATTAGAAGAGGAGGAGGGGGAGAACAAGAAGGTATTGAAAGTAGATTTCTCCAGCAGTGGATTTAGTGCGCACGCAGAACTGCGCCGAAGGATATTTTGTGTTCAGTGTGTTCGTAGGTAGATCAATGTCTAGATCTAATATCTAATCTAAATCAAGATAAAAAATCATGCAAGTATTGAAAGTAGATTTCTCCTGCAGTGGATTTAACGCGCATGCCGAAGGATGAGTGTATTTTGTGCACATTGTCTAGATGAGATCTAGATCTAAATCGAGATCAAGAAGAATCATGAAATGAAAGTAGAATCTAGATCTAGATCTGTGATATTTTGAAAACCTATTGAATATTGAAAGTGGATTTTTCTTGTTGTGCATTACAGATTCTAAGATCTAGATCAAGGCTAGATCTAATGTGAATCTTCAATGCAGCAGGTAAATAGGCCCCTGTGCCAGGGGAAATCCCAAGACTTAAGGCGGCACAGGGATGACCCCACTCTACCTCCCATTTTTATTTTTGAATACGTCCGCATGAATTTCTGCATGTACATTCTACATTGAACCACATTTCTATTGATATAACTTTAGGGGGATTTCATAGAGAGATATATGGAGAAAAGTTGAAGTAAGTAACATGATCCAAAAAACACCACCAAACAACATACATTTGAGTAATGATAAACTGAGACCAAAAAAAATAAAAATAGGGAATACATGTTGTGTGAGTGTCTGTAGGTAAAGAGGCTTTTCCTACCTTACACAACGCTCGTACAATCCATATATGTACATGTAAGTTCATTTGTGTTTACTGCAAATAAATCATTTTTGTGCGGTAGATGTGTTAGATCTAGATCTGCTTTTTTCCTCTCCCCTCAAGCTCTCCTCCACACACACAGACACACACTCGCGTGCGCGCACTCACACACATACGCACACACCACTCACACGCATACACACATGCAATGAGAATAAAAACCAAAGGTCTGTGTACACAGAATGACAGCAGTTACCTCTGCATACTCTGCTGCCCTTTCAATGTCAGGAAGACTGGGAATGTCCATGCGTGACTTGGACATTATACTGGTTCAGAGTCTGAAACAGGAAAATATAAAAACTTTAAGAATTCTGAATTGTAGTAATTCATCCAAATTTTAAGAAATTGACTGCTCAGTGTAATACTCCACCAAACGTCATTTTTCAATACAGCGTATGTGGCGGGGTCTTAAGAATAACAATAATAAAAAATGACATTTATATATAGCTCTCAACCCCGATTAAAGTACACAGGCTCTGAGCGTTTTACAATACAATACAACAGTAACATAAGATGTGTTTTAACTTAAAGGAAATCTCTCTCAATATTCACCTTATCACCTTAAAAACAGAAATGACTTCAGCTGACATTTGAATGAACGAAAGGATTTGATCTCTTTTAAACTACATGGCAAAGCGTTCCAAATGCGTTCCAAGGGCTGTAAGCATAGCCATGAGGTAATGTGTAAGGGAGGGATAAACGCATAGCCACAGCCATTATATTAACCCTTCCAGTCCCAGTATTTTTTGTGCACTCCCTAAATCCAGTCCCAGCCAATACAGCAGTACTTCAGAAAAAGAGGCATGCATTCTAAAAAGTAATGAAGTATCTTTGTAATGAGGTTTATATAACAAAATAAAAATGCTTTAAGGTAATGAACAAATGCTATGAAAATTAAAGTTTAATTAGTTTATATTAGGATCACTAATTTTTTTTAATGCGCAAATTCGGTACCCCCCGAAACTGAAAATATACGCTCTTTGGGCAGAGAGAGGCACAAGCGCTGCTAAAGGGGTTGGGGGGTTGGAATATAGGCCTATACACGCAAGGGGTTGGAAAGGACTGTACAGCTCAGACAGTGGGCGGATGGCAGATGGCGGTGTGGAGGAGTTAAAGTTTAAATTAAGTTTATTATTAGAATAAGAGGCGCTCCTTTTCGTACATTGGCAAAACATGGCGGTATAACAAGGTGTTAATGTGAGTGTGTGTGTGTTACAACAAGGTTTGACTGTATGTATTGTTATTTGAGCATGGAGGATATGTAACCTCTAAACCTTCTTTGTGGTGCAACTTAAGAATGTGGGTCCCGTCTGCTTAGACTTGGCATCATCCACACAGAGTACTGGATATCGATACTGATTTAAACATTTGGTATCGTTTATCAGTAGATCTAGCCTAGGCTACAAAATGAGCAGTAAAATTTCAATTGTTTTTACCAAGGCAAAGGGAGTTTCAGGGTGAAAGGTCGCTTGCCTCCCTGACCTAACAAAAACTGAATTTGACGTGCATTAAAAAGTAATCTTTACTTTAGAACCAGAAGTAATCATCGGTGGGGCAGAACTAAAATTATATCCCCAAACCGGACCCACATTTTTAAGTAGTAACCCTTCTTTTTATCCAAAACTATTCTTCTTCAACTTCAAAACTATCTTACTACTACTAGATATCTAGAAGACCAGTACAAACAACTGGCCCAAAGTAAGTAGATCGACAATTGTTAACTTTCTAGCTTTTAATTCAAGCCGCGCCTAGATCTAGACGAAACTCTATGAATCCCCCGCCCCCGACTGGATATTAAAAACTTTGCGCTGGAGTTAAGAAAACGTAAACCACGGCAATTTCATCATTTGTAGAGGTAGTAACATACTGGCTTAATTTTTAGGCCTTCCGTACTGATTTTGATGGCCATTGAGTATAATATATAGAGTTCAGAGTGGTCCCTCCTTACGGATGTCTTTCTCTGGAATTAAACGCGAGAAAGTAAACAATTTCTAGTAGATCTAATCTAGATCTCTAGATCTTCTAGCCTAAAACTAGAATTGGCGGTGATCTTGTAGTTCCGTTCGTTAAAGTCCACGATCCAAGTCTTGATGACCAGATAGGCAACATAAAGAACAGGGACGCAATCTAACTGCAAAACATCAAATAATGGTAAAATTCTGGGGAGCATGCCCCACTGAATCCCCCTCCATATTTTTGTTATGTCAGGGGCCTGAAATCCCCCTTCTCTTGACTCTTGGGGCCCAAACCGGCGAATAATAATTGGGGGGTGGGAACTGCCGAAAAACCGCCATTCTTTGCTTGAATTTTGATTTTCTGGCAATTCAGGGTCTCTGGCGGCATTCAGCTTTCAACTTTCATGAACGAAACTAAAAAATCACCACGATGGCTACTAGATCTAGATCTAGTACTCGCGTTTCAAATAGCATGGCAGCTAATTAGAACGGAGTGATTATTCTCATCAGGGGTGAGGATAAACTGATTCTCACCCTGGGTGAGGATAAACTGATTCGCACCCTGGGTGAGAATAAAATTGATACTATTCTCACCCGGGGTGAGAATAATGACAGCCTACTATTCTCACCCGTTTTTTTCGTTTCGGGCATCATAGGACCCCTGTCACTGAGCATTCCAGGCGACATAACCAGGGTTGGGTTGATTTAAATCAGGTCGATTTAAATCAGTTGATTTTTTTAAATTTAAATCAACTTGATTTTTTAAATAAAAATCAGTGATTTAAATCACTTTTTTTTAAATTTATTTTTATTCAGTTTTTACACATTTCAACATTCAGAATTCCTTTTCTTGGTTTCATAAAACAGATATAAGGTTTAGTAGACTAATATAATAATGCTTAAAAGTCTGCTTTCTCCCCTGTCACTGTAAGTAGTAAAATAATACAGTATTCAATTTACTTTTTTTAAATAATTGAAGTTAGCATTTTTTTTTCTTTTTAGACAAACACAAGCGCACGCACACACACACACACACTGTAATAAAATGCAAGTTTATCTAAGCATAATTACGCCCCCCCCCCCCTCCTTTTAAACTGACATTTTCTTCTTTTTTTATTGTTGTCTGTAGCCATAATTCACTGATATAGCAGATTAAGGCTTTCTTTTGCAGTTGCTTAAATTAATCATTAGTTAAAATAAAGACAATGCATTTTGCACTAAAAGAACATACTTTTAGCCACCAAAAATACCAAACTGTGTTGACATTAAAAAAAAAAAATTAAAAAAATAAAAATATGATTTAAATTTTTAAAATCTGATTTTTTAATTTAAAAAATTGATTTTAAAAATCTTTATTAAAAAAAAAAAAATCACCAACCCTGGACAAAACTCGCCTCCCTCTCTCACTCCGCTGAGTGCACGAGGCGACTAAAATCGCCAACGGGCGGCCCTGCTCTCGAGCGCGGGAGGCGACTATTGTCGATTTGGGGGAAAACAAGGAGATTAAAAGTAATTTGACCAAATAGCGTCACCTTTTTTTGCTACAGTATTAATTTATTAGTTCTATAATGGAAAATTTTACTCTTGAATGGTTTAACCAATCAAAATTAAGAAAAAAATAAGCCTAGGGTCAAGGCACTACGTTCCTTAAAAATAATCGTGGGTTCTGCTAGGGATAACAATTAAACATGTTTTTTTGTGTTGTAAACAAATACCAATTCCAACATTACAATGACAAACTACAAGAGTATTACTAACATTATTTCATTAAACAGCTTTCAGTTAAAAGGCTATTATTTTTCAAAACATACTACTCTGGCAAGTGAATTCCTTTCTGAATTTATAATATATTAACACTTGTCTAGGGTTTCAGTGAAGATATGCGTGCATACTCTCAACTCGAGATTTTAAAAAATGAAACAATAACAATCCCCGCGGGAACCTAGAAAAATCGGCCAGCGCTCTGGGGAACTCTCTTACAATTCACAAATTATTTTCTATCATCGTTCTCAACACCCAGGTAGACCAAAAAATCTACTGCATTCTCAGACCGGGTGAGAATAATATTCATTTTATTCTCACCCAGGGTGAGAATACCTTGATATATAATATTCTCACCCCGCGAGAGAATAAAATGGATATTCGGGTGAGAATAAAATTATATTTCTATTTTCACCCCGGGTGGGAATAACCGACAGCCATTCAGAACACGGAGTTGCAAATAGCGCCTGCCCTGGTAATTGTTTACTTTCTCGCGTTTAATTCTGGGGAGGACTTCCATAACGAGCGACCACTCTGAACTCTATCATGAAATATTACACTCATTGGCCATAAAAACCAGTAAGGACGGTAGGCCTATTTAACTATTAAGCCAGTATGTTAGCTAACCCTGGAAGCGCGCAGGCCCTCTATACAAAGGGCGTGAGCCGGGCTACCCGGGAAGCACGCACCTACTTCGACCGGGAAGCGCGCAGGCCCTATATAAAGGGCATAGACGCTGACCCTTTTCAATGGAAAATTCCAGTATTCCTTATATGGAAAATGACGTAGTCAATTGCAGGCCAAAGTTATAAATAGTGACCAATGACTTTGCAAGTTATCTTGACCCCGTAGAGCGTCTCTTGGCCGAGATATCGATCAATAAAGTGACGCGGTCCCGCTGAGTGACTACACGCTATGTGTCATAACACTTGTTTCGCCGTGCTGATGTACTAATTGTTGAGTCTATCGCGTTCTGGGCTTTGTTTGTATTTATTTGATTGCTGATCATTTTTGAATGGCTCATTCTATCAGCTTAAAGAAAATATATGCTTTTACCATCTGTTGAGCCGTAAATGGCCATTTTTCAGTAGCAAGTATCTCAGCATATTCCCCCCCGCCAAACCCCCACGTTTAAAACTGATTGGCCGTGGCGGCGGGGCATTTTTGGCGGGTTACTTCTGGTAAAATGCTGGCACTTATCCAGGGTTAAGTAGATTTCTACCTAACATGATGAAATTGCGTGGTTTACGTATTCGAAGTGACTATTCGGACTCGAGTCCGAATATGAAAAAATGTTTTTCGGACTCTTGATTCTTGTCCAGCATAACATCACTTCCGACTTCCTGTGACTCGTGACTCCGGCTTCCTGTCCTGCCTCACTCGTGACTCGCATCAGGCTGGGTAGAGACCGGGATCACTTCGGGCAAAAATAGCGTTAAATTGTGCCGGAGCCGAGTTTTTATTTTGTGATGAATTTGAGGCCGGCCTGAAAAGTTAAAGCGCTTCTAATAAATGTTTATTTGTCAAGAGGTTTATCAGAAGCAATTAAAGATGGCCCATCAGCGTGTGTCGGGGTCGGACGGGCGGCCTGCACACGTGTGGCTGTGTGCGCGTGTCGGGGAAGGGAGGAGGAGGCGCTATCGGTCCGGGCGTTGAACGTCGCATACGCGCCAGACCCCCCCCCCCAACTGATCATTATTACAATAATAAGCTAGTCTTGACGTAGATCTACGTAATGAATTGTGCGCTGGTCTATGGAATCAAACGTTGCCGTATGCTCGGCTCTACACAGCAACACAACTTTTTCTTGGTAAACAATCGAGATGACACAGGCTTGTGTATTTGAACGAAGGCCACCTCTATTCTCACCCCGGGTGAGAATAGCGCAGGCAAGTCTTTTGGCTATTCTCACCCGGTTGGCGTTCACCGTTAAGTATAGTCTCAGCCAACCAGTTAAGCGTTCACCCTGAACCACAGAATTCTACACTCTCTCTCTTTAGCTATGATCTCTATCTTATAAAACGATCTATTACTACTGTTAGTGTTAGCCTAAAAGCGTGCAATTTTGTCTGTGGGCAGTGGAGAGAGAGAAAGAGAGAGAGAGAGAGAAGTAGCACAAGAACTTCAGGGCAAAATAAAATGGCGACCCGCGTAGTTCGGCTCGATTCGGAGAGTTAAACAGCCGTAGCATCTTTGTAGACGACCAAATTAATTTACTTTTGTGTTTTAACATCATTTTTAAACTTCGTTTTGGTCAATTTGATCGTCCGCACCGATAGACAGTATTAAGAGAGAGAGAGAGAGGGGGGAGGAGTAGATCTTGCGAGAACTTCCGGGCAAAACAAAATGGCGACCCGCGTAGTTCGGCTTGATTCAAAAAGTGAAATAGCCATAGAATCTTTGAAGACGATCAAATTAGCTTACTTTAGTGCTATAACGTAATTTTTTCTTGGCTTTTATTTGAGTTTTATCAATTTGATCATCCACACCGATAGAAAGTATTCCAAAATCATTCAAAATTAGGAAAAACAGGTCTTGTTTCACACCGGGTGAAAATAGCCTACTCTGGCAAGTCTCACCCGGGGTGAGAGGTAGATCGGATCGGCAGACAAGGTGTGGGGGAAAGTAAAAAAAAATTGGAAGCACTGAACGTTAGATCTATAGAATGAAGACACTTCCTGGTAAGATTGAAGAATAGCGGACCAGCGGACTGACTTTGCCTATGTCTCAACCTTAGGAATTTATGATTTTCCCGTTTTTAATATCTCTCAATGGAGAATCTCGGACCGGTAGATCTATTCATTAAAATTTTGTCAGGGGGGAGACCCCCCTGAACCCCCCCTCCTCCGCCCCACTTTCTCGCGCAATAATGTACGAGTGGTCCGGTATTCTTCAATCTTCCCCACTTCCTTTTTTCTGGACCCGTGTCCGAATAACATTTTTTCATATCCGTATGAAATTTTTTTATTCGGCAAGTCCGAATATGAAAAAATGTTTTATTCGGATTTGAGTTCGAATAATGACGGCCTTACGTATTATTAACTCCAGCGCAAAGTTATTTTGAATCAGTGGGAGATGCATAGAGTTTCGGCCAGGAAAGTGGCTATTCTCACCCGCCCGGAAGTTCTCGCAAGATCAACTCCTCCCCTCTTCTCTCTCTCTCTTTCTGAATACTGTCTATCGGTGTGGACGATCAAATTGACCAAAACAAAGTTAAAAAATGATGTTAAAACACAAAAGTAAATTAATTTGGTTGTCTACAAAGATGCTACGGCTATTTAACTTTTCGAATCGAGCCGAACTACGCGGGTCGCCATTTTGTTTTGCCCGGAAATTCTCGCGCTACTCCTCTCTCTCTTTCTCTCTCTCTCTCCACTGCCCACAGACAAAATTGTACGCTTTTAGTAGGCTACAGTTGTAATGGAACGTTTGTTCACGGCACAGAAATCTACAATTTTTCTGTTATCACAGTGTAGAATTCTGTGGTTTAGGGTGAACGCAAAATTTGGTGAACGCGCACCGGGTGAGAATAGCCACAAGACTCGCCTGCACTATTCTCACTCCGGGTGAGAATAGAGGTGGCCTTCGGCTAGATCTAGATCTATTCTATATATCTAGATTCTAGATCTAGATCTAAGCGAGGCCGGAATTAAACGCGAAAAAGTAAACAATGGATTGCCCCTGCCCTTTCTTTTGTTTGTACAAACTCACCTCACAATGTCAATGCTCAATTGAAATTGGTACAAGACAGCAAAGTCACAAGAAAAGTGGCAACTCCATTGCATGCTACACGAGAAGTAGTTTCCTAATCAACTTTTTTTCCTCAGAAATTGGGAGGTCCTGTCCTTGTGGCTTCTCACTTCTCGGTATATTCGTAACATCGACAAGCCGAAAAAAAAATACTGAATTAATTGGGACTTCGGTGGGTTAGGCTAGGGTTACCTCGCTTGGGTCGCTTGCTTCTTCTTTTTTTTTATCTCTTGCACAGAAGAGTTTTGTTTATTGCCAAGTTGGCGTTAACAAATTGTCATTTTTTTTCCTTGGCTTCATATGCTGCTTGTCTTCAAATCTACAACAGTCATTTTCTTATAAAGAAAAGATTTATTAAATTATTTTAGATCTAAAACTTTGTGCAAAATTCGATCAAACTGACATAAGTTTTCATTTGAATTTTAAGTCTCTGTTTCATTGGTGATCAAAAGAGGTTAACCTCTTTGGCTGTGTTCACTAACTGCGATAAAAATGCAAAAAATAGGCGAGGCCAAGGGAGAACGAGAGACTAAATTTTACTAATCTTAGTTAATCTTACCACTTTGGAAATCCCAAGTTCCACACAGTTCATTGCACAATACTTTCTTTGTATAAAATGATGAGGCAATGAAATAAGATCACAAAGTCCAGCTTTCTGTTCTACATGTACACAGCAGGCGGTGAAAAAAGCAGTCCCCTCGTTCTTGGATCAAAATTTATATAAATTATGGAATCACACACATTAAGGGGCTTGCCAGTGTCAGTACATTGGTCGCAGCAGTGACAAACGCAGATGCCAGTTCTATGTGTCGTTATCAATAACCCTCCGTAGATCTAGATCTAGACAGCACAGGAGTGAACACAACACATTACGTTTAAAAGCAGCACCTTTCATAGGCAACACGTCATATCTATAGCGAAAAACTGTTTGGAATTGTAGCATTTCTTTATATAAATATTTACGGCGGACATTTTTTGGACCGATTGAACCATATTGTATACGAACAATCTTTGGTAGGCCCATACTATAATTATAGATCTCTATATAATATCCGAAATTTGGGGGAAAGGATGATATTTCAGAGTGTTCGGAGAAATAGTGCCCAGCTTTATTTTCCTGAACGTTTGAAGAAATAGTGCCCAGCTTTATTTTCCCGAACGTTCGGAGAAATAGTGCCGGCCTATTTTTTAACATCAAATTTTAATTATATTTTCGAAGTGATTATTTCTCCGAACGTTCGGGAAAATAAAGTTGAACTCTATTTCTCAGAGAACGGTTTCCAATCTCCAGATTTTTGGGCGAGATTTAGGCGTCATCCTTTCATTCTGCCATTCTGGGTGGACTGGGAATCTAAGAAGCATTATTTTGCATGGAATTCAATTTCTAGAGCTAGAGATTTTTAAATGTCTGAATATTCAGATACTTCAGTTGTGGTTAACGTTCCCGATATTTCATTTGAAAATACCTTCAAAAGGTTACTGCGAGAAAACAAGACTGCTTAACCTAGGTAGTAACCTATTTCACATTTAGTCTCCCAGCAAAAACTAAAATCCTTCATGTAAAAGGTTGGGACCCTCACACACACGGCACACACACACGGGCCACTCCATTCGTTTATTATCAACAAGAAATCTTGGAAACGGCAACCGTTCGGAGAAATAGAGTTCAAGTTTATTTTCCCGAACGTTCGGAGAAATAGAGCTGGCCTTATATTTTTCCATGACTCAAGTTAACTTTGTAGTAGATCTAGATCTAGATCTACATATCTGATCTAGATCTAGATCTATAGTACTATTTTGTTGTTGTTGTTGCTTTACTTTGGTAATTGTCTTATGGCGCTTGCAACAATAGAAGGTCATATGAGGCGTGCGTAGTAACTGTTTAGAGGTAATGATAATGTGAACAAAATACAGTGGTGTCCACAATCTAGGCTTGTGTATGTAACACCAGTGTAATGAAATTCATATTATGTTAATGTTAGGTGGGTATAATTTAAGCAAGTGGCTATTCAGTCAATTGATGGCTATTGTCCTGCGTCACGTATAGTTGCACGTGTCGCTTCTCCACAGCTTTCCATCTCCCCTTTCGGCACATTAAGGCCTTGCACACAAACACTCACCAGGGTCAGCATTTCTTCAAAATGCGATTCACCATATAGTGGACTCGCAGCCACTACTCAATGAAAGCTCTAGTGACGGAAGGAGGAGGAATTTCGGTGTCAGAGGTGACAGCACCAACAACTGTCAGTCACAACCAGATGTACAAGAAAGCACATCTGGCGCTAAACTCAGTTGTAACAGTTCACTAATAGCCATAAAATGTGCTGACAGGGGAGATGGAAAGCTGAGGAGAAGGGACATATATGCATGTGCAACTGTACATGACGCCGGAGAGTAGACATCAATCTATTGACCGCCGCGATGCCGGAGAATAGCCACTTGCATAATTTGATTATAAATTTAAATTATTATGGTATTCTTTTACTTTCACTACCGTCTCATGCTCAGGTTTTGTAAATAGCCCTTTGCTTTTTAATTTTTATCCCTTTTACATGTTTATATCCTTCCGAAATTAATAGTTTTTCAATTGAAATATTTGATTGTTTTCATTAGAACTATTGGTAATTAAACTATAGGCCTATTACCACAATGCCGATTTGCTTAGTGGCACTTTGGACCAATCTGGGGG